CGAAACGGAAGGGGGACTGAAGAGCCCGCGAAAATCATCTTCGAGTTTCTAGGGATGGAATCATGGGACTTCCTTTCTGACCGGATATTATGACCCGGCCTGGTACTTGAAAACACGTGAAGGTGCATGCGTGCCCGACTCTTAACCCCAATACCAATGCGGCAGAGAAGGAGAACGCGACCGGCCACAAAAATGTGTATTAGGAAACCGCAAGTGGAGACTAACTGAAAGTAACGCATACTTATAACATCTTATTGCATTTCGCCGGCATTCGGCCCAATACTCTTCGAGAAGAACACTCCAAACGAGCTGGTCAATAATTGGAATACGCAGGTCGATCAGGCTCGGGGGGAGCAGGCACTGGGGAGGCGCCGCGATTAAGATGACAGCGATGTAGAGAAAACGCGCGTTGCCTACGGTGAATGGTTGGCTCTTGTTTTTGGTAGTGTAGGTACTCCCAACACCTACCCTCCAAGTAGGTCAGTATCGCTTTTGGCATGGACTGACCTGCATCGGCAGTGTTGACCGACGCATGCGGTTTGTACGGCGTCTTGGTCGTGGTTTAGTATCTGCAGACACGAGGGCAGTGACTGATACCGAAGGCAGTACATCCGAAGAGAGCGCAGCAGTGGTTTCGGGAACCGACTGATCTGCCGGAATGGCGAAAGTATTCAGGAGGATGTCAAGAGAGAGTGACGGCACCGACTCAAGCCCGGTTGTGTTACTGAAATGTCGCCGTCGGAGCTGATTGTCGTGATGAAGCCAGATGTCATAACCAACGTCGACATAAAACAACATACTACCTCTGTGCGCTGCTACGGTTGCCTCAATCCAGTCTGGGAACCCAGTCCGATAATCACGAACGAAAAAAGGTGTTAAGACGGAAAGCTTGCTGCGAGAGAAAAGAGAAGTCTGCGCGGGCTGCACACCGGTATGAACGAGTGCATGAAACGCTGTACGCAGTTTTCGGCCCATCAAAGCTTCGGCAGGTGACATTTAAGGCCGCGAAGACCATCACCCCAACGCGCGATGGATGTCATCATATATTTCTTGGTTGACGAGACTGTTGCAGTTAACATAAGATCGAAAAGAAGAGACCGCGAAGACCGATGAAACCGCAGTAATTGTGACGAAATAGAGCAACCTCTCGGGGTCGTCAGTAGTCCACTTTAGGGTCAAAATGAGGGGGTGGGGACGAAGGTTGGGGAGTTCATCTCTGCGGGGGATGATAGTAAAGAACTTAGCAACCAGGTAACACCAAGAAGAAACGCCTTAAATTCCAGGTGGTTTCTTTTTCAAGTCCAAAATTTGTGTGTTTGGGAATTAAACAGACAATAATGACTTGATACCTTCCAGGGTAAAATACTTATGACATTCCAATTTGAATTCTGTTAGTGTAGACGATTGTCTAATTTTTAGGAGAAGATTATTTCAGAGAAAAACACATTTTGAGGCAGAAAACGAGAGCGGTTAGACGTGGAGAAAAGAGACGGTGAAATAATAGTGGGAGAATAACAAGTGGCATAGGGTTAGAATTAAAGTGGGACAGGAAGCAAAGACCAGCTTCGAGTCTTTCAACTTACAGAAATTCAATGTTCGCTAATTGACGTCTCTCAACATAAGTGATACTGGACGCAGAGTGAGAGAAGTGTTTCCATGCAAAATTCTCTGAACACTTTTGATTTGGCAGCGGTCACAGACATTCACTTGGCCACTAGGGCCGGAGTTTCATGAGCGTTCCGATAGTTATCAATGTCTGAGAGCGTTCACGATTTGGAATCTGGGTTTTTTCTAACTTACTGCCGACACGCAACTAAACAGACATCCAAAACAAATGAAATAAAAGTACAGCCGAAATGTGCGAGTTTGTTTAAGGTCTTTTTCTGTGTTCTAAGGAGAATGACCGCGCCGAAGAGGGACTGTTATAAACCTATTCTATTATATTCCGTATTAATGCACACAACTGAAACTAGAAAATCAGCCTGAATTATTAAATGGAAGCCTTCGCCCACGGCTAGGTTTGGAACACAAGAATAGAGGCAGACACTGAGCAAGTAGTAAGAGCATTTTACTCTGACAGATGACACGAGGTGCTTTACAAAAATGTTTTTGGAGCCCTAGGAATAGTCGGACTTGTCGTGGAAGAGAACACATAATGATAATTTTGGAGCGTCCAAAGGCCAAATAGTATTGGCAATTAACGCCCGCACTATATGGATGGACTGATTCCTGCCCGAAAATTGTTTTCTTCAACAAGTGTGGTCACCATATTACGGCCTAAAATGGCCGTTCTAGATAATAGTCCGACCTTCACCAGTGTAGAGTTCGAAGAATTTGCTAAGAGAAACAAGCTCAGGTATGGAACCACTGCTGTGTACCGTTGGACACCAAATAGCTTGGCGAAGCGCGCCTTACAGACATAAAAACACGTACTTGTGTTCAAGAAATAGATGCGGATACGACTGGAGCCCATTAACCTTTTGACGTATGGTAAGTTTGTCAAAAATTAGACAACTACGGGGCGCGAAGGAACGTGCATACTCGGCCCTGAACATTCGCGCCTTACGAAACTGTCTCAATGCGAATGAAAGATTGCGAGGGTGCATGTCCGGTTGCAGTTCGAGCGGAGGAAATATAGTACAATTGGCCTTAACATGGACAGAATGTACAGCAAAATTTGGATCATATCCTTGACCGCACTGACGCAGTAGGAGGAGGATTCGAGAAGGCAAAAGTGACCGCAAACTCCGGTGTTAATTCTGATGTTCTGATGACAAGAAGTACGGCCTATTAGGAACGTCCTGTCGCCCGACGGAGTACACATCTCCCTACCCCCTACTACTCTGACCAATATGAACTCAGAAGCAGAAGGGAAATCAGCACCACAAAACGATGCACAAGTCGAAAATACAGCCCTGAGACGACAGATCCAAATTAACAGATCCGTTTAGCGTTTTGAGATTGTAAACCACTAGAGTACTCGCAAACTATACGTTATGGAATTTGCCGTTTCTTTATTCTTCTTGGCATTGCCCAACTCACGATAGAGAATGTACCGCACGCTGTCCAGCACGGGGTCATTGACACCATGCAGCATGCGCCTGACAAGCGAACGCTTAAGGTCACGAACGCGTGAATAGGACCCCCTAGTATCGATCAGCCATCCTACGGCCATGTATCCTACAGTGGCGCCCAAAACTGTCACTGTACTGTATTCTGGGGTCTGTATATATACTGTCTTCAACCAGCCCTGGTTGTTGCATATGCATCAGGCCCAATTACGATAAAAAGGCGTGGCAACGACATGAAAATTATTGAAAGTAATGATAAGGCAGAGCTCTTGGAGCAATAGTTTGCTTCTCTATTCACAAAGAGGCGAAGTTTAGTAATTCTAATAGTCATGATACAAATACCAGTTCAAGAAAACCTAAGCGACAACTCTACAATGACAAAATTTTTTCTCGTGCTGTTATGCAAGGTCTGACGGATGGAGTTTAATTGGTTTCCCATAGATTATAGGTAAATACACGATAAGCACATTCACACCTAAAGAAACGTAAAAAACTGAGAGTGTATCCTAAAGTTCCGGAGCCTCTTATAACTGATTGAAGTGGGCAGCCCACATGCTCGCCCTATGAAACGGGAGAGTAAGTTGACGTACACGGAACGTCCCCCCGAAGACGTTTGTTGTATCATGGAACGAGCACTTTGTCGAATTAGAGTCTTCGAACACCGTCTAAACATTTAAATACAGACTTGATGCACATCTGACAACCAAATGATGCACGACATGAGCGAGTTTACAAGACAGGCTGCCTCTGGCTCGTCCTAACTGATGACCTTGTACGTTATTAATGACAAAAAACAAGGGAGACTGGAGTGGCCATTTCTGGCTTCTTAGCCGTCGTCAGCCAGTCATACCCAATCCCGAAGTGTGGAACACCCGAGGCTCGAACTCGCGACCTGATGACGTTATTTCCACGACGACTTATGCTATACAACTTCCTTTTTCGCACTTTTAGACAAGTCACTTAAATGCGTAAAGTGACTTAATCAGTACACGGTGGATTGTATTGACTGTGACAAGGTATCAAGTGGTTTATCAAGTGACCCAGCGTAGGGTCTTTGACGGCCTTATTAGATAATCCGTTTCTAAACCAGACAAAATGCCGCAAGTCCAAATGCTGTACTTGACCGTGGATTACTGTCTTTCTAGATATTTCAAAGATTACGCGAACGCCTACGCAGGAATAGCAGCTAATACTTCAAGACATCTATGTATGTTTCTGAGGTAAGGGAGGTGTCCAGTTAGGGACACCCGTGCACGAGTGATGAGTCGCACCATGCAAGCGGTGACTGCTCCTCACGACCCTTAATTGGAATCTAACTCTCATCTGTGGCTCCCCAAAGCAGGGCTCCGAATAGTGTCTACATCCCGGTAACTGCCTCGACCAGCGGGCTTAACCAGATGGGGTATCTGGTGTTGTGTGTGCCCTCATCCAGTCATTCTGTTTCCGTCCCCACCCCTACCTCCCCTCCGCTCCTCTTCCCTCTCACATCCTCCTCCCTCACTCCACCTCAAAAAGTCTTACGGAGTGGACGACGCGCAATACCGTAGGCAGCTCAGGCTAACTCGGATCGCTTTCGCAATAAATAAAGTTGGGATTCAAAGTGGGGTTTAGCAGCCAACCGGAATGTTTAAATAGCCCTATTTAAGAACAGAACTGCTTACCCCCTCACGGAGGGGAGGCTATAAAAGGTGCCCCAAACAAATTCTGCAAAATTACGACCTCTGCAAGCGCGCAGTGGCCCGTGAATGAAAAACTCGTAGTCAAAATAACCAGGCGAATAATAGCAACAGCAGCTTCCGTCGCCATCATCTCCATACCACCCCACAAGCTGCTAAAGTGAGTCTGCTCTGGCAGCTTAGAGAGTCTGTTCTCCCTTAGACAATCTGAGTAACAGCCGGACGAGGGAGGACGACGCTAATTCTTTGATAAATGACGCGCTACAAGGTGGACATCGTTGATCCTCGCGAGACTCGCTTTTCTGAACAAGGTCAACTGGAGGAGGTGGGTGCCCGCCACACCTTCTTCAGGTGTGGCGTCCAAAGGTAGACAGACGCGACGCTGACGTCGATCTCGTCATCCCGAAGGACATCGTGGAACGACTACCCTGTCTGCCGCAGGACATCAACCACCGCCTCATAAGTCTGTGCTTGCCTCTTCGGGTAGTCACATTCGCTATTATCATCAGCGTCTACGCTTCCCTCCACAGTAATCAGCTTCAACGAGGCGAGGAAATTCTACGAGGACCTGCGTGCCCTCCTGGTGGCGGGGCGGACAAGCGGATCGCCTTTAATGACTTCATTGTCCACGTCGGGGCAGACCATGCTGCCTGGCGGGAAGTTCTGGTTACCCTCGACATCGGGGACCGCAACGACAACAGTCTCCTACTTCTGAGAACCTGCGCAAAACACTGTCTCCTCCCCACCAACAACTTATTCCGCCTCCCGCTGCGGGAAAGGCAACCTGAGTGCACTCACGTCCGCGGCGCTGGCATCTGATGGACTAAATTCTCGTCCGGAGGCGAGGTCGACAGGACATATTAATGACCAGGGCGGTATACGACGCCAACGACTGGACCGATCACCGTCTTGTCATTTCCAGGATGAGGCGCCGACTGCAACCTAACAGGAGGTTACAAGGTAAGCGACTGCCAAGTAATTTAAATACTGTCCTGTTGAATTCGCCTGCTCACCACTTCGATTTCAGCAATCAAGTGGCCGAACGACTGAAGACTCGCAAGCTCCGGGTGAAAACGCCGCCGTAGAGATGCAGGAAACGCGAAGAAGTTTTCCGGCAGCCCCTGACCTTTAATGACAGGATGAGTCAGGATAAATGTAAGAATTAATAATCAAATATTAAGCGACCTGACTACGAAACACGTGTGCCGCGTAAGGAACTCAATACAGGGTTGCGTCCATCCATGAAAACAAACAGTATGTTTTAATGAAGGGCCCAGGTTCACTGAGTCACTTAGAAGAATACTTTTTTGAAAGGCACCGTTAACGTCAATGAGCCTCACTTATTGTTGCCTGCGTACAGCGTTACCTGAATCAAACAAGTAGGTGTGCTAGATGAATATAATTAGGGGTTCCGTTCGTAGCATGCTAACAGAAAGTAAGTGCTTGTTCCCTTAAAATTCGCCGTCAAACTTCTACTAGGCAAATTCCGGCACTCAGCCCACTTTTTGGTGTTCGGTTTAAACATAACTTGCACATGACAGAATCAAAGAAGAACCGAAGTACAGGTCGAAATAGAAAGCTCGGAACACCTATTTACTACTAGTATAAAATGCACTGAAGACAAACTTAACCACTGTATCCAAGCGAAAAAATGTGCCCCAGCAATGTCAACTGAAAACTAGACATGTATTCTATAGAAATAACCCTTTTCACGGATACAAAAAACACATAAAGCATGTTAAATCTGTTATCCAGTTGTCACCGTCAAATGAAAGTCGGAAATGGTAGGGCTACACACGGACATGCTCCAAAACGGATTTCCACGTGCTTCAGTAGAGTTAACACGCGAAAAGAGGAGACATGTTACTCCGTAAAACGGAAATACATTAAAATTAGTTGTATAGACAACTTTGACCAATAAACTGGTTGACAGAGGTGACTTAAGCCTCTAGAAGTCAAATCAGAGGCCCAGGCCAACAAATATTAAAGGAGCTGAAGAAAATAACCTGCCGAAATCGGTGACCGTAAGAGAGCAGGCACAGTAGTCGAGAAAACAAGACGTCAAACAACATAAATTAATGACATATTTCAATCAGAGAATCCTCCGGCAACATGTACCCTGGATCGTTTTGTTATCAGTTCCCAGTCATCGAGAAGTCACGCATAAAGATTTTGAGCAAAGTTTACTCAAAAACAAAACCCTCCGTTTTTTCAGTGATGTCACTGCACACCACACCCTCGTTTAAATCGATTTCAAAACGCGTTGTTCTGATTTTTTCTTCTTAGTGCCATACTCTACGCATAAATGACCAACATAGAAATAGCAAGAACTCCAGAGACGTTGGGTCTTGGAAGTCCAGCAAGTGAAACCCTTGTAGTATCTGAAATGAGCTTAATTGCATCATCTTTAACAGTTTAATAAATAAGCACAGAAATCGCTGCTTTACTAACAATGCAGTCTTTGTCGGCAGTTAGTAAACAAATAAGAGTAACGCAGCCCAAAATAGCCTTGCCTGCAGGGCTATAACTAAGCTAGGATTAAATGTGTCAGTTACAATGGATTCTGACGGGGTTTTTGTTTTGGAATCGCGAGAGGTGAATAACTACGAAGGTTCTAGGCATTGATAATGGCTCTCCAGTGCCACCACGAATATGAAAATTAAGTGGGAAGATTCACTGTAGAAAAATGGCCCCGAAACCTCAGTGGGTCAGGGATACAGTGAGGGTGTCATGCCGAAAAAGGTCAAATGACCAGTTTGAATGGCAGAACTATAATTTACTTACGGTTCTAGTTTATGTAAGATGTCAATAAAGACAGACCTTTGTACGGCTAAAATGCGCTATTCGACTTGATCAGTTTTCATTGGTAAGAAGAACAAAATAAGATGCTTCGAATCGGACGAGATTTTATTTTCCCCTCAGATACTACTCACATTTACGTTGCATCGATATCTGTCTGCGTAAATTGTCATGAATATAGTGCTCGCACTGGAAACTATCTCGAAAATGGTGATGTTTAATGTTGAATATATGCTCGTCTTCATGTCTTCCTAACCTTTGCGTAAATGACCCTAAGAAAAACACCGAAATATGTCTGAGCTGCTTTAGGCGTCATCGTGTATTTATGTGCAATTGGGCACCTACAAACTACCGTACTCAGAAAAGCCACCCATACAAGACAAATGCCACACTTCCAGAGCAAGCACCCTCTGTCTCCCAAACGTGGCCGCGTCCGAACTCTGTTCCAAAGAACTGGAACGCTTTGCAGCAGGCCATCAGACAAAAAATCTGAACAACTTTACCTTCATAACCTTTTCAGAGTCAATGAATATCCAAGCAGTTCATCGATCAAAGCAGGCACCAAACGAATAGACGACAGCCAAGGGGGCAGCAACCTGAAGTCTGGTGGACCATTGCTTACACTGTCTCCAAGGCGGTTTCTCTACCGTTACAACCCACCAAAGCAGGCGTGGCCCATTGATTCTGGGCAAAAATTCATTGCCGTTTGACATAATCTAAGGACATACTGCCTCTCACTGTTATCTCGGCGGCCTACTAAATAAGTTGCAGTCATGGGGACTGAACTAAACTGGAGAAACTGGACGACATTTGCGTGCCCGCCTACACGGAGACAAAATGGCAACTCGGAGGTTAAACCAGAACTGTCAGCTTGGAGCGGACACTAGAGAAAATAGCCATACTTCCTACCTTCAGGGAACGACCATCTTAAGTCAGGGCAACTCCAGGACAGAACGACTAACACTCGAGGGGGGGGGCAGTCCGACGATAGTTGCATTAACAAACATCTTGACCTTCCTGCAGCTTATGAACTCCTGCGTCACAATGTACATTAAAGCCGGAAGAAGATGGTCACACAGAACTTAAGAAAACCGCGGACACGGCCCGACAACGAATTCACTCGACGGGGGAGAAAAAGAACTACTAGACCGAACACCCTCTGCAGAGGCCCAACTAACCCCTCCTCCCCATCGACCTGATGAGTAATAATACACGCAACTGTCAAGTCCGTCTAACGCCCGCCAAACGGCCTGGGCAGCGAAAGAAGAGAAGATCGACCAGTCCAAGGCCGACTAACTCGGAACGCCATTTGCATTCCTGTCCGGTTTTCTGTATTGGTGAGATGACCAAGTTCTCCGAAACGGTAGCGGTTCAATATACTTGTCTCATTGAGCCCTTCCGCTTCCTCAAATTACTACCCCCGATTGTTCAACTTCGCCAATCTGATGTTAAATATTGTTATGCGCGCAATGGCCTGCATCGCAATGCCTTGAAGTAACCAACAAGCCTGGATGAGCTATCTTGGAATAATCTGGCAGCAGACAGCTGAACTATGATGGTAAACTTTTCCAGGCGCAGGACAAATTCTGGTATGGAAGGAAGAAAGTTATTTCTGTGAAGCCACTACACCAACCGTTGCCTTTTACCGTACAAGATCAAGTATTTCGCGCAGCTACCTGTCACAAAAGACAATTTTTCCTCACAACAGCGGTGGAGAGTACGCTTCTGGTGATCAGTTTGCGGAGTACACGGTGTTCAAATCTCCTGCTTTGCGTCGTCACGCTGTCAAGTGACACGCCTAGTTTTTCCGCTAATTGTGAATAGGCAATTATGGCATCGGCCAGCGTCAGTTCTGCCTCAAGATTGTTGAACTTGAAGGTCGTCCGTCGACTTGGGGTCTGGGAACCCTCGTGTTGTCCACCCATCACACCTCCCGACAGGGTCAGCCTTTATCGGTTCTTTCAGAAGACTTTTTGTGGAGCTTGAGGGCATCGTCGAGCTTCGCACCACCAGCCTCGAACTCCGCAAACTATTCTAACGCTCTCATATCTCTCGGAACATGGCCACCAAGTGGTGTTAATTTGTTGTAAGCTGCCTCCGCTGCAGAATGTTCTAGCTTGAACTCGTAAAAGACCAAATGTGAAAATTAGGCCTTTCCATGACCCTTTTTGTTGCAATAACTCCTTTTTTTAACGCTGGCACTTATGAGGCTATCACCGAGGTGACATCTGGGTCGTTTCGTTATTGTAGCCCCGTATACCTGAGGTGGGGCATGTGGGCAGCACGCGTAGACGCGCTTTGCAAGACACTGCGCCTGCGCTCGGACTGTTGCTGAGTAGTATCAAATATGAAGCTGCAGTGGAGTCTACGTGGTCAAGAGGCGCATTTCTGGGATGAAATTGAGGAGAGGGGAATAAGTAGGTGGTTATCTGAGACGACGCACATGGAGAAGTTGCAGGGAGCACAAGGGACAGAAAAAACCCTGGTACACGACCACGACTTAGCTGCGGCAGCGAGTGTTAATGCAGGATAAAGCATATTCCGCTTCGCTCGCGAAATAGGTCACCTGAAATATTGGGATATCAATCCGGAAAATGGCTACATCACGAAGACAGCCACTCTGCACCAGCAATTATGTAAGCGAGGTACGCTCATCAGGAATCCCCCAAAAAGACTGCCCTAGCTTTGGAACTTTTTTCGAAAAAACCTTTAAACTTTTACCGTCTTTAAGATTTTAGTAATGACAGTATGCATGAGGAGAATGTAAAAACTGCTGCCAAAAACAGTATAATGGATATAAAGATAGGCGTTCATGTATACAAGTATAAACATTGCCTAGTGCGCTCTTATTCATTTTGAAATAAATAAAAGGTTTACGGAGAGCATTCAGTCAGTTCGGCGTTTTAGCGAGGCAAACAAGAACAAAGGCTTGCATATGATAAGGGGTAGACGTTTGCCTAATTCGGCAATTGCCACTGGAGAATGGAATATGAAAAAAAAGGATTTCTGTGTTAGGAGAA